CGATCTCGAGCCCGGCTCGCCCCTTCCGCCCGCCCCCTCGCCCGCGCAGTCGCGCGCGGGGTGGGCGGGGGGGGCCCGGCGCTCTCTTAACAAAAACTTCTTTTCAATTTTAGTGATGAGGAAGCCTTCCAAACTGATACTCACCGAAAGCTAAAAGGATTGTAGGCTATCGACTATGCTGATATCGAATATTACCATGAAAAAATCTCTTAAGCATTCATATAGTGGTTTTTCAGACTAACAAAGTTTTTCCCACAATTTCTTTATTGGTTCATTTAGATTAAAGAGTAAATCAAGTCACCTAGACAGTAGTCAATTTTTCTGCTTCAAGATTTCTTTTTTGCAGATAATACAGCCATCTGAATTCATACAGCAAAGTGATTGATCATTTGAAAACGTTCCTTCGCTAATCAGAATAACAAAAGTTTGTAATGGTTCATCCTCTGAAGCTTCTTTATCATTATTTTGCTGAATTTCTCTTGAATTGAAAATCTCAGCATATTCTATAGATCATTAAATTTATGTGTAGATTGAAGTTCAATTCGAAATTTTCTTTTTTTTGATTTTTCGATACACATATAAAACTGGATCAAAAAGCTTGTTGGCATAGTTCCTTTTGGGTTGAATTGTGAAGCTTACATGTGTTCGCTGGCTTAGTATACTAATACATATCGATTATATTTACATCAGATCTCAACACACTATTGTATATCATGATAAGATCACAGAGAATACAACATCTGCTATCCTCGGTGGTGAGGACCTGTCATGAAGAAGAGAGTTGCAAAACTTCGAATTAAAACTCTACTCACTTTTTGCTTCGAAAATATATTCGAATTCCATAAAATTCATTAAACCGATCATAGCTCAGCACAAATACCTTATAGGGACGAACTTTTTTTTAGACTTTCGCTGGTCTTACTACCGCATCCGTAATGGTTCATTATGAGCTCAAACAATGAGTACGAGTCCAAGTGGTTTCTTTATGTGGATAGTTCTTTTATGAAGTGAGAAAAAGAAAAACTCAATATCTTCCATTGCATAGTAATCATTTTTTAAATACTTTAAAACTGATTTTCTTGAATAATGCATACTTAGCTCCATATTCTTCTTTAAAAGATCTTCTGTATTATCACTGACTACTAGCTTAGTATTTATTTAACACAAAGATAAGATATTTTTCTTTTCAAATATCTGATTGCACGTTTCATATGAATGAACAAATAGTTTAATGTATACAATTTTATTTCGATTGATTAAATAAAAATCATTACTTCATATAGAATATTGAATATTTCATTAAATTCTTAATGAAAAACCATTGCTAAAACAATTTCATCAACAAATTGATTATCTTTTGCTCGTTTAAAATATCCTTTTAAACATCCTTCTACTTGAAAACCAAGTTTTTTATAAAATTTTAGAGCGATTTCATTATCAGCTTCTGCATATAATTCAATACGTTTAATTTGTTCGTCTTTTCTTAATTCATAAATTAATTCATGCATAAATTTTGTACCAATACCTTGCCGATGAAAATTTGGATTTGTTGCAAATATTGTTAAACAAATAATATGTGCACAACGTCGTTGTAAACGCTCTGCAATGCATGTAGCTGCTACTTGTCCATCAGTATTCTCATATATATACAATGTGTCAGATGTTGTCAATTCATTAAATAATGGTAAAAATTCTTCTTTACTCATTATTTCAAAATTTAAATATGGATTAACCGTTGGATGCATATAGATTGAATAAACTGCATCAAAATCATTATCTTTACCTAAACGTAACATTGATCTGTAAATTTAAAACAGTAAGTCAACGATAAAAGAATTTTTCAAAAACTTTCTCATTCGTTTGTCTTGTATTCTAATAAAGAGTTTACAGGTAAGCGACGGTAGATGTCTCTTAACTAATGTATTCATATGTAAGAGAAGACTAATAGAGTGCTACACTTAGATATGCATCGAACATTGAATGTAACAAGAGAATTGTTCGAAGTAATTAATTATTTTCGAATTTGAACTGTACATAAGATAGATTTCAGTGAGAAATGAAAAATCTGGTTAGTACAGTTCGTTAGGGCTGAAATGTAGAATTTATAGGGATTCTTTAGCCTCATTATGTTAGTACAAAATACGTTAAGTGAAAAGACTTTCGCAGAGTATGGTTGTTTTTTTATGATATTATATCGCCGGAGAAACGATTTGTCTTATTGATTGGTACATTTTGAATAAAACTTTTTTCCTATGTTTTATTGGGACTGCTTATTTGTAGAATTGAAACATTTTCGAGGAAAACATAGTGAGTGTAAGGTCAAATCGAAGTTAAGTTCTGTGTTATTCGATTTTCTAACTGAATTATATGGGCGATGAGAATTGAACGTCAATCTTCGCAATGACATCAAACTATCAAGTTAACTTTTGTAATACATAATTATATATAGTAGAATTTTAAGAAATTTCAGTGATCTTACAAGAAATAGTAATACATGAGATAATTCAATATAAATAGTTCATGAACATATTTTTATTCGTCATTTCCTATCAAATTCTCCTATATCATTTTATTTTATCAAAACACGTTTCATCATTTTATGACGATAATTTCAGTTAATCAAGTTCCAAAAAATAAAAAAAAGAAGTTGTTTTCATGCATAACAATTAAACAAAACAGAATTGATTTTGTCACATGATTTATATCATCCTAAAGCTAAAGATATGAATAAAAATTACCTGATGAAGTATCTTTTTATACATAAATAGATGATCTTTATTTAGACATTGTACTAATATGTGTTCTATACAATATACTAGCATCTCACTGACATTCTTCAGAGGAAGAGCTCTATCGAAAAATAGATAAAAGAAACAGTATCTTCTTCACAAATATTTGACATTTGATATTACTTTATCTTGATATGCATAGACCAAAGAATCGAAATAAAAAAAAAACTCGACATCCAGCATTTGTTTAGGTTATCATAGCTCGAGAGTAGAAAGAGTTAATATACACGGGCAAGAGATAATCGCTGCTGCTTTTCAACGCTAGTTCTATCAATATGTGATAGGCTACCGTATTGCTCACGATAAAACAAATGCAAAGAAAAGTTTGGAACCACTTAAAATTTAATTGGAATTGAGTAATATATAAAAAAAAACATGTATGTGAAAAGAGTTTTGATCTTGAATATACTGTCATTCAGTTTCAGAAAATTTTTAAAACCTTATTATCGGTAGGCAAATTATATTACTTTAAAGTCAGCACACTCGATGGATTTTGGATGTGGGTGTAAGTAGTCATTAAGACTTTATCTACTGGTCGACCTGTTTAATTTTTAATTTTCATAGATTATACGAGGTCCTGTATGCCTAGTTTTCTTTGTCTTTCGTTCAAATTCTCATAAATACTTCGATGAACTCAAACATCTAATTTTTTAGAAACTTTATGCTTGTACATAAATAAGTCAATTGAAACCTAAATTAGTAATTATGTCTCAATTGTAGTTATTCTCGTTAAAACTATAAACTAAGAAGAAAAAAAGACGGAATGCTTTGCCAATGTATGAGTACATTGAATTCAGTATAACAATAAATGTTTATTACACTTCACGCCCATCATGTGTCTTCTATATTTTTGTTGAATCTTTACTGTATGTTTATCTCCTTTTTTTTCTGTTACTTGACAGCAATATAATTCTGTTTCAAAGATCGAAATACTATCACTATATAGATTTGCTAATAAAAACAAAAGACTACTATCGGTTTCAAATTCTAGTGCGTCTGGTTATTTTTTGAATAATTCCAGAATGGAAACAGCTGGAGACCTGCGGTTTTCACCATTGGACAGAGAAATGTTGGGGCCAGATTTCGATACAAAAAATTGATTGGCTCATAATGGACCAATCAGATGAAATCCCAACGGACATTTTGTAAACAATATTTTGAATGCAATTCTGATATTGTTATGAATTCTGTCATGATCATTCGGTAGAAAAAAATGTTCTCTTTCGATCTAGACAAGGCCCAACTTTGTATCTCATTTAGTTGAGGAGTTATAAGGGTTTTGCTAAGACCCCCGATTTTGGTCAATTCAAGTAGAATCGTTCGGAAAACGATCTTGGAAGGGGTAATTCACCACACTAAGTCGAGTGGCAATGTTTATTTTTCGATCCAAAATATATTAACGCTATAATTTTAATATTCCTGAAATTTCACATTCTGGCGTCATCTAGCGGCTGGAGTCATAATTTGAGGAATATTAAAATTATAGCGTTAATGTATTTTGGATCGAAAAATAAGCACTACCACTCGACTCAGCGTGGTGAATTACCCATTCCAAGGTCATTTTCCGAACGATTCCATTTGAATTGACCGAAATCGGGGGTATCAGTAAAACCCGTATAACTCCTCAACTAAATGAGATACAAAGTTGGGCCTTGTCTAGATCGAAAGAGAACATTTTTTCTACCGAATGATCATGACAGAATTCATAACAATATCAGAATTGCGTTCAAAATATTGTTTACAAAATGTCCGTTGGGGTTTCATCTGATTGGTCCATTATGAACCAATCAAATTTTTGCATCGAAATCTGGCCCCAACATTTCTCTGTCCAATGGTGAAAACCGCAGGTCTCCAGCTGTTTCCATTCTGGAATTATTCAAAAAACAACGACGCGCACTATAATTTGAAACCGATAGTAGTTTCATTTCTTTTATGTCAAGCAAATGCTTTGGAATAATTATTGATATTATTTTTATAAACATTACAATCATTTAATCGTCGGCTCGTCCTGAAATTAGCAAATCAAACATTTCTCACATGCTTTTTTGCTGCTTGATATTACGTTTTCGTTTCCCCTTCGTACCATGCGATACACCGTTGCGTTCATTTATTTCGTCACACATGATTAACCAGTAAAAAAAAGGAGAAAAAGAAACAAATTATAATTACTTGTATCTATATATTGAATCACATCGTGCAATATTACTTATTTGGCTTATGTCGTGTTCGTTGAAGCAACTACATTCACTTTGAAATGTCTAAACAACCAGTTGATCAATTAATAACTCAATGGATATATCATGATTATTTACAATATAAAGATAGACCACCAAAAAGTAATGTTACTGTTAAATATGCTAAAGCACTTTTGGATGTAGCTGGTTCTGATGGTGTACTTACTGATGCTGAAAGAAAATGGGTTTTAGGCTATGCAGCAACTCGTGGTAAGTTATTTTATTTAACAATAAAAATAATAAATCTTTTAATTTTATATTTAGGTGTAAAACAAGAAGATCTTGATGTTCTAAAACAATATAAAATAGGTTCTGAAGATACAACAGCTATTTTTAATGATGATAGTAAATTAAAAACTGCTGAACATCTTCAAGCTGAACTTATTTATGATGGATTTCGAGCGGCAGCTGCTGATGGTGAATTAAAAACACGAGAAATTGATTCCATATGTGCATTAGCAAAAAAACTTGGTATGACTGATGAAAAATTTCAAGCTTTGCTTGAATTATATGGACAAGAAGAAGAACATCGACAAAAACGAATTGCATTGCTTTTTCCAAAAGATTATGGTCAAGCTATTAAAGCCATTGATACGCATTATGCACGTTAAAATAAATTTACATTAAAAAAAAGTCTTCCTTTCATCAGTTTTTCTTTTCTTATGCGAATTTTCATTTGTCGAACTAACATAAGATAAATTAAAGCTAACAACATTCTATATCAAAATAGTTCAGTTTTTTAACAAAATTTCAGAATAACAAGTCATTGCCTAACGAGCATAACTATATTGAATAACAAACAAAAAAAAACAGCGTTTGTTGCGGTTGGTCGTAAAAGATAGAGACGATTTTTGAATGCATTATCTTGGTTTGTAGATATTTAACATTTATACGAAGGTCGTATGTTAAAAGAGTACTTCGTATAGGATTCATTAATAACTAATTGAAGAATTTTTTTTTTCTGTTAATCGATTTTTGTTGGGCGATGTATTCTACTACCATCTTTTACACGAATTTTTGATCTGTTCGCTCCAACAAAGATTTCGCATGTCTAGAGTACTCAATCCTACTCATGAACGAAGCTTTCAATGATTTTTAAAAGTGTGACAGGAGAAGAGAAGCTAATGTTTTTTTGGCAGACAGTCAGTTCTATTCGAAATTTTTATGTGCAACTCAGCACAGTTTCTTATGAATGTCTACAAGTGAACACTTGCTTCAGTTTTCGACTTTAGAAAGCTTCTTTTTTTTTTGAAACTTTTTCTCATACTTAAAGCCTACAATAGATTTATCATTCGACAGGCAAGATGCTGATTGTTGTATTCATTCATATTTTGTTTGAATAGTTTCTTTCGCCATCGATATATTTTTAACGAGTGTAATCTTTTCAATAGATATGTGCTGGGTAAGCTTTTTACGTATTTTTTACCCTCACTGAGAAAACAAAATCGATAACAGATTGCATTTTCAAAAAAATTCTTTTTTTTTTATCATTTTTACTCGTTTAAATGAGCTCTTATCTAACTGGAGACTATTACCAGATCCTATTAAGTTGGGATGTGAATGTTAGCTGTTTTCGTACTCTGTACTATAACTCAGAAAAGTTTTCGGACGCTGACCGTACACTACTCTGCAAGATAGGATAGGGTAATCCTACGCATCTCTACATTTCCAATTATTTTTTGCCATTTGTTTAACACAATTCGAATAAACTATATTCGTAGAGTCTATTATAATAGTCTTGTACAAGAATAAGATATGAATATATATATATATATCGATTATGGCATTCAATGAAATTTATTCTGTGTGTTAATTTGAATGAAGACAAATATAACGTGCTTTGATGTTACCAATCTCATTTTACTTTTTTGGAAGATTCAATGGGCATTATGCTTACAAAATTTGACAGGCACTCTACACACCACACCGAAACAAAAATAGATATTCTATACTATCTGCCAAATTCAGCGAACAATATACACTGTGTAACAGTTTCGTTACGTAATTTGCGCTATCTGACGGATTTGCCAGAAACTCATGCGCAGCAGAAAATTTCACAGGCAAATTGAAAAGTGGGGGAGGTGAGGGTTATCCCACCCCATTCTTCCACATCGAGAGTCATGTTGACACGCTGCATCTTTCGTACAGATATACATAATTGTTCTGAAACTCTTCAATAAAATGTATCCATGTGGCAATTTTCATTCCTTTAGAAGAGCATTGTTATTAAAATAATCTATAAGAATATACAAATAAACTCATGCATAAAGAATTTTTGTAAGTGAGCATAATAGATTCACCGAGTGTCGAAAACAATTTACTTGCCAAATCAATGTGGATTGTTTTATAATTACATATTTTCATGTTATAATCAAGTATAAATACTAACGAGGGAACCTTTTCAAATGATACCCTCCGTTTTGATTCGTTCGTATCTCATTTAATCAAGTATATTGAGGTAGTAAAAAGCCTAAAGGGATTTTTCCCCAATGTTCTTCCTTCAAAAGTTATGGTCGTTTTATTGAATTTTCGACCCATTCCCAGATATTTACGAAAAAATCAAAATAG